ACTCTGGTGGGAAAGACTTTAAAACAAAACTTACAACAGTTACTTTTCTCAACAACTGAAATTCAGAATAGTGTGATTAAGAAAAATATGTGAATTTAGAATTTTCTACAGTGAAAAGTTTTCGGAACTTCAGTATTCAAAAAAGTATACAAAAACTAGACGTTAAGAACGTATCCAATGAGCGAGCGAAGCGAGCATTGGATTGCGAAGCTATCTGAAATGAACTGTGAAAGCAGTTCCGGGGGTTAGTGAGCGCCAGCGAGCAGGGGGCCAAGCCTCCTAGTACTAATATATTTGTGGTAGTCTAGGTTAGTTGCAACTTTCTGTTGCAAAAGCCACAAAATCAAGCCTCGCCAACTCTAGTTTTATATTAAAAAATTATGATTTTAGTTTTTAAGAAGTACTTAGTGTTGTTAAGATACTTAATAAGGTTTAGATGCGGAAAGCCACCAAGTAAGGTATATATATATATACAAGAAGAAAATCCTTATTAAAATATTGTCGTGTCTTAATTTTTAAATTAGAACACTGAGTTAATGGGGAAAATCAGAACATTGGTTAATTCAATTTACACTTAACTGGTTAATGATTTTCTGCAACTAGTGCAAATAGGCACTGGTTCATTTAGTAAAAGTCGTCGATGTGTTGTTTTTATATGGCCAATACATAATCTGTTTCTGAAAGCTCTAGAGAGAGATTTTAAAGGCGGAAAATGTGATGGCTGGCTGGAGTTAATCCAATAACGCTACAAAATTTACACAATATAGACGATTAACAGAATATATCATATAAAAATATGAAAAGATTGCGTAATAAACCAAAAAGTTATTTTTAAAAATAAATAGTTTTGCTTCGTGGTTTTTTGTGCATTTCAGTAGAAACACTCAAACAATTTTGGGAATTACTTCCGGTGTTCATATTTTGTAACGAACAAAAAATATTTCTTTCATTTGTATATCAAAATTGTCCGTGTTACGTAGTGAATAAAAATACTTATTCCACTTGTATTTCGATACACTAGCTTACAGTATAAAACAAATTTCAATTAACCTTTGATAAACGACCTTTATGGCAAAAATCTTAATTTTCAAATTTCCCTTAAATTTTCAAAAAAATGGTAAAATATTAGAGAATTTTTACTATCTTAAATATTTTAATTATGCAACTCCTGCTTCCTGGTAGTAAAAATCTTTATGAATGCAATAATTCTACCATTTTTTTTAAAAAAAAAATAGGTCTAAATGTCTATTAACGGAAATTAACACAAGGAAATTTTTTAAGTTTTGGAACTCAGAGATTTTGTATAGCATTATATAAATGCATCATTTCTTTGTTGTTTTTGTGCTTAATTTCATAAGAAGAATAAAATAATGAGGCAAAATAATTACATATATTGTGTGTACTGCGTTGTTCTTAAGGTCTATTGTAACTGACAATTCTATGAGAATGCTAAAATCGTAACCATGTTTCCGGAATGCAAATAGAGTATCCATCCAATCGAAATTTGATCCATCCCACTTGTCCCCCTCCACCACTGGCCACCCACCCAATTTTTGTAGTACTTCCTGTAAAGGTTTGCTGCCAGATTTCTCAAGGATATCTGTAAAGATAAAGTAAAGTAATTTTTTACTTTATATAATTTATTAAAAAAGAAATGAGTAAATCAAAAATAAATACATAATCTTTCAAAAATCATGAATAGTTCTTAAGTTTTTTTTATTTAAAACTTAATATTTTTATTTTATATTTATCAATTTTATTAATTTATATTTTTTATTAAAAGTTTTCCAAACTGTTTAGAAGAAAAAAAATGCCATTTTGAATGATTTTTAAAGTTTTTTTTCAAACTTAAAATGAATGTAATGTAAATTATACAGTGTATTAAGAATATCTATACATTTTTCAACACTTAAAATTTTTCTGCATTAATAGGAGAAATATAGAATGCTTTCAAAAACTTCCCATGGAAAAAATTTTTTGAAAAATCCATATCTTTTATTTTTTAGATTCATGTTGCCTGATTTGTACAGTGCCTTAAAAATATATATACATTTCTGTAACTCATCAAACTAAATCCAAAATTTTCTGCAAAAATAAAGAAAATATTTCTTTTTTTTTAAAAAAAATTCTGATTGATGATACCTTATGATTTAAATTCGACTTCAAAGTGCTCTATCTCCTGAACAAATTATTAAATATTTTCTAAATTACAGCTTTTCTTGAAAACTGAATTAAAAAATATTAAAAAATTTCCTGATATAAAAACTGGTAAAACTTGATAGATTCTTTTGCGCTTATTTAGTATTTCTGGTCTTTCAAAGGTGTGCTGACTTTTACGTTCAGAGGAGCTCCATCACATGCCGAAAAATTCTATCTTGCTCAAATCTGCTAATAAAGTGATTTAGCGAAGTGATAATAATAAAAATCTAACTTTCAGTTAAATACTCATCCGAAAATTCAAGCGAAAGAGGTAAACTAATTTTAGTTGCGAGCCTACTGTTTTATTTTTTAAATTTTTTAGATTCAGGTGATAAAGGCAGTGTGCTTACATTGCTTAGACTGCAACATTCAATAAAATGGTGGCTTATTGCTTTAAATCAATGCACTACAACAGTTTTCATCGCCGATGGCGGGTCAACACTTGATAATATCCCTCTGAGAGAGGGGCGGATGTTGATTGTTTACATTTAAGATAGTTTTTATTTAATAATTTTAATGTAATTGTATTTAAACATGCCTTCAGAACAAAATACAGTTACATTCGCTGTATTGGGGTGACTTTAGGTGATGTCTCTAGACTCCCTGTTAACCTCTCGTCTATAGAAAGTCGCACTAACCCGAGAAAAATACACCACGGAAAATAAAATTAATAATTTTATGATCTTATGGTGATCTGGTACTATTTCATTTACGGATCCGAACCAGTCCGGAGCTCAGGAGTTGGGGTTCACTGCTTTAAATGAACTACAAGCTTATATCCAATTAATATTCATTATTATAAACATAGCATTTATCACGTTCATAGGTGCTTCCTCTGTATAAAATAAAACTACAACTGAATTCCGTAATTTTTTTCCAAACTAGGGGAAGGATTAATTTTCATGCAAATTACGCGTTAAGAAAAGGGTAGATATAATTTCAATTTATTCCTTAGTATTCTACCTTTTGGGCGAGAAGGCTACAGCAATAAATTCGAAAAATCCGATGGGCCACACGTCTGATTTTCTAAATAATTTAATTACTCAGAGAAACTTATCAGCAGAATGAAAATATTTTAGTGCAGATTACTATTTTTTTAAGTTCTCGCATGCTCGTATTTTGTGAAAATTTGAATTAAAATTAAAATACTGTCTGGCTATCGGGATATATCAATAATAAGAGTCGGTTGCTCTCTATTATTGTCTGAGACAGATGAAATCCGATGATACTAAACGTAGAGCAAAAAAAAAAAAAAAAATCATTACAAAACGGATGGTTTTTATTGCTAACTACTAAATGTGTAGTTTGAGTTTGTTTTTGCTTAATTGTTTGATGCAGATGGGGCACTGGTGACCTATTTTCATATTTTTATCAACCACTCTTATTACAAGTAAATATTATAATTTTGTATTTTTTAATTATAAAAAACAGCCTAATTGTTATTAAAAATATGTTATATAATTAATTGAATTTGTATTAAAATATGAAATCCAATGAAAGTAGTATGCATTTTTTTCCATTTATATTCAAACATTTAACAATAACTGATGTTGAAAATTAAAGAAATTTCAATGAATATTTGTTCTTCTTAGATCTAAATAGTCCAAACTTCCAAACAATAATTTGAAAAATTATTGCTTGAAAGTGAGCCGTATTTGGTAGATTTTACCTTTAACGCAGAAAAAGACACCCGTGTTTTCTGCTGTATTTCACAACCATAAATTATTAAAAAGCTAAACATAATAATTTTGCCTACTTTGACCTAAATTAATACAAAATAATCAAAAAAAGCTTTTGAAAAAAATATGTATGATGAAAATTCTGCGACAAAGGATAAAACAAGCAACGTTATCACTCGATCACGTGAAGTTGTTGTAGTCGTAATTATCTAAGTATCTTATTATATATTATCATATAAATAGACTTAATTCGGCAATCTAATATATAAATGAAGTAAAAATATCAGATATGAAATTTAGGCTCCTAGTAATTTTCTGAAATAATAGTCCTTTGTGCTTCTTTTCACTTTCGCATCCAACTTCTATTTTAAAATTGATGAGATGACGCTTCACTAAAATATTATCGAAAGACCACTTGCGGCCCTTTAGCTACGAGATGAAGACCCTTACCTTAGTACGACTAGTACGGCTACCTTAGTACGACTAGATTAGGGAATAGAGAGTTCGCCTCCCAAAAGGTGCCAAGGTTCGAATCCCAGCTGTGGTTGGTTGATACGAATTCAATTTCTGGCTCGCACTGACCTTAGTGTTGATATAAAAATATTCTCAGTGATAGACATTCATCGGTTAGAATCTTAAATAATGTGTTAGAATCCTCTTGCCGTCTGACTAACCATGAGAGATTTGGTTAGTTTTTCTCTTCATGTAACACAAATGCGGGCTAATTACACAAAATAGTCCTCCACAAAGGCAAGTTTGTCTCAATACTTGATTCAGGAATTCTTTTGTATACTGGATTGAGTTCGAAATTACACGACTAAGGAGTTGAACATTGATAGTCGTAACATTGATAGTACCTATTAGTTAAAACTCTACTTTGAAAAATTTGTCTATGTTTGCTTATGTGATTGCGCGCACTTCGAACTTTCGCAGTGTCCCCGGATGCCCCCTTTGGGGGCTAGGCGGGGTTAAGATAGTTGTTGATAGTCGTATACTCAGAATTGGATCTACTGTTCAACGCCGGTTATAAAACGAGCTCACGAAGCAGGCAGATAAAATTAGCAAATTTAAAATTTTGTTGAATTAAAAGGTAAATATCTCAGAAATTTAGACTGCATTTTTATTACATAGAATGAGAAATTTTTTTTTATACTGTTCTTGATATAAAAGGCATATCTTCAATTTTTGTTAAAATTTTATGAATATTAAATGCTATTTTGATTCATATTTTAATATTATTTTGAAAATTATTGTATTGAAAGTTATTGCAATGAAAAGTTCTTATGTTAATCAGATTACCATCCAATAATAATTGTTAGGTAAAAAGAAATTGAAATATTTTAATGATATTTTTTTAACATGGGATCATAGTGTTACTTTATCTGCAAAATAATTCATTTGAACGTACCTAAATCCAGGCATGAATTGTACATATCTTTCACCATTTTTATCGATTTTGGTTCAGATTCATCTGATGGTTTTTGTAGCAAACCTAAAAATTATATAAATTAAATCATCGTATAAGAATTCATTCTGAAACTATTTCAAAGTACATAACATTATTGTTGCATAACATAAAACAATGCTTTACTTTACAAACATATCAAATATCTAAGTTGTAAAAGTAAATTTTCATTTTATATATTTTATTTTCATTTTAAATTATTTATTTCATTTCAATTATTTATTTCATTTCAATTCATTTTCAATTTTAATTTTATTTGGATTTTTTTAAACTTTCATTTTGTTGTATTTCATTTTATTCAAAAGTTATATTTCTAAATAAAATACAATTAAAATACTTATTTGTGATGGATGATTGAAGGATACTGAGAATTTAGATTGAAATCATGATATAAATTTCGAATATATTTAAAAGACTTGAAGATAGATAGATATAATGATAAGTCATAGTTTTCAAAAACAAGATATTTTAACATCAAAATGTTCCTTAAGGAGTATTTCCAGATAGATCCTTTGGGAGTTTCAGAAGCTTTTCTGATATAGAGGTAGATTACGTCAAATGTCTTATGTCTTAATTGGAAATCATAGTGTTTTTTTCCAAAACAAGCTCGCCTAAATAAATTTAATATGTGGTTTGTATAGTTATAATAACTATATAGCATCAAATCCGTTTCTCGCGAAATTAGCTCAATATGTCGCCTTTTTCGAGTATAGCGAATAAAAATTTATTGACTCAACGTTAAAAGACTGGGGATAAGAAAATAAATTTGATTTAAAATTAATTTGCTTTAAAAGTTATGTTCCTTCTTCTCATAATTAAGGTTTCAATTTCCTGTAAGAAAGAATTTACGCTTTGAATTTCGTAAGAATACTTATCATACAAGTTTTTCTCTTCAGGAAGGAAGGGCAGTTTAATCTAAATGAGAAGAACTATTTAATAGCATTGATTTTTTACTCTTAATCGTGCAATTATAGCATAACCTTGAGACATTTTTAGATAATCCCTACAATAAAATTTCGGAATACACAGAAAAACTTCAACATTAGTAAACTGTAATAAAGAGTTTAAATCTTTACCCTGCCTGATTCTTGAGTGCCTGCACACTTGACTATGTACAATGTATTATAAATAATTATTAAAAGTATTTAAAAAAAAGCGACACAAAACATACCTTTCAGCTGGAGATTTAATACATCTCGGACTTGATGAAACACTGACATCATGGCTTTATCATCGGGAATAGAATGTTTGTTTATCCAACCACCGCATGCAAATTTGTAGAAATTATCACAGGGATTGACTTTCTCGTCTAAGATTTGTATGATTTCTTCAGCTGTAAAAAAATCAGTGTTAAAATTTTAACACGCATGTAAAAATTGATTTCACGAAGTCATAATCAAATGCAAGTTCTAAGCTTCTTGAACATACATCTTCTTTTTAGTAGCTTATTAAAGTTGCAAATTACATAAACCACAGATTTGTTCTTGGATTTATGGGACCTCAAGTGTTTTAGCATCTTCAGTTTCTGAAGCAACTACGATAGTTGAAAGTATCACACGCATCAAGTTGTTGTTGTTGTTGCCAATCCTTCGAGATCCAGCACCAGCTGGAACAAATTCATGAGTCCGTGAACCTTAGCAGAATCTAACATCAAAGGTGGTTGCAAGGTTAAGTTTTTAAATTCTAGATTCATAGAAGCAAGAATATGATTGAGAGCAGCAGGATTGATCTTGCATATGGTACTAGTAGGGAAGATCTAGCTCCCAGACTCAAAGGTCATATATTTCATGCTTCCGCTAATGAGTCGCGAGGCAGCAAGTATCAAGAAAGAAGAATAAATACAATTTTTTCTTTGAGTTGACGCAAAATTAAGTAATATTAAAAACACGTGATTCATCCTCAACCCGCGAGTTAGATTTCAGTAAAATAACTGTGGAACCCGAATAGTTCTATCTGCATTCAAATGGATCATATATTATACGCATATAAAATCTGCAAAATAAAAGACTAAAATGGAAAGGGTAGTTTTAAAATTTCAAATCAAATTCAAAATTCTATGATTTAAGTCAAAGAAGTGATAAGTTATTCCGGAAAAAACAACAGCAGAAAAATTACGAAAAATAAGCAACATTCTGTTTTTAGTTATTAAATTAAAATGATTGTTTTTTTCCAATGCCCACCTTTGTTAACATCCGTCAATTCAGGCGTATGCAAGGCGATTTTGTTGGCCTCTTTTTCAGAGGCACCATATTAGGTGGGCCAATATCGCTCCCACAGTGAGGACAGATAGTACAGAGAAGGAAAGAACATCCATGCCTTGCCCGGGACTCGAACCCAGAACCTTTCTGATGCGAGGACAGTTCCCTGCCCCCTACACAGACCGGTCGGCTTAAAATGATTGTAGATAAAATAGATTTTATAGAAATAAATTAACTTTTTCGTCAAGTATCAAAACATCTGGACCTACAGAGTTGTCTTAAGTGTAGTTTAAGTGTAATACTGAAACTTTCATTACCTGTTCTCACACAACCGGGTGTTGTACATATAGCTTCTTCATTTGCCTCCTGCACAAATCTTGGAGAATTTAAGGGTACAAACCTGGTTTGTATTGCCTCTGTAAGGAAACATTAAACATTTTAACAATTCTAGTATGAATAGGTTTACAAAAATGTACCGTATGAGCTCCCTAAAGTGAAATGGAGTTTTTGTTTAAGAACTTTTTGCACAATTAAAAATATATAGTATATCAAAATAAAGTATTCTTCGTTTATTTACCGTTTTTAAAGTTTAATCAAGTAGATCAAATTACTGTCCTATATTTTAACTTAGATCGCATAAAACAAAAAATTAACGCCAAATTCTGATCTAACGGAATGGAATTATTTTGAGAACTAAAAAATATAATTCAGTAATAAAAAATAGCATTGTTTTTTTAAAAAAATAGAAGNCAACTATGATAATATGTATAATTAACTATGTTTTAGTTGAATTTATGAACTGTTACAATTGACCCCGTAAGTGGGGACAATTGTAACAAGTGCACGACTGTCAAAAATTGTTAATAACTAATATAATAACATTTAAAATAAGGTTTTTATTATTTTCTTCTAGTAGAGGATAGTCTACTTTACTCGTCTGTCAATTAATACTAATAATATATTGGATTTTTTGTTAGTTAAAAATAGTTAAGTAAAAAGTGTTACAATTGACCCCACTCTCCCCTACTGTTCTAGATATAAAAGGCATATTTGCAATTTTTTAAACATTTTATGAATATTAAATGCTATTTAGAATAATATTTTAATATTATTTAGAAAATTGTTGCATTGAAAGTTATTGCATGAAAAGTTCTTATGCTAATCAGAATACCATCTAATAATAATTATTAGGTAAAAATAAATTAAAATAGCTTTATAGATATTTCTTAACATGGGATCATAGTGTTACTTTATCAGCAAAATAATTCATATGAACGTACCTAAATCCAGGCATGAATTGTACATATCTTTCACCATTTTTATCGATTTTGGTTCAGATTCATCTGATGGTTTTTGTAGCAAGCCTGAAATTTATATGAAATTAAATCATTATGTATAATTCATACTGAAATTATTTCAAAGTTCATACCATTATTGTGACGCAACATAAAACAATACTTAACTTTAGAAACATATCAAATATCTAACTCGTAATAGTTAATTTTCGTTTAACATATTTTATTTTCATATTAAATTATTCATTTTATTCTAAATTATTTATTTCATTTCAATTCGATTTTAATTTTTATTTTATTTAGATTTTTTTTCACTTCCGTTTAATTTCATTTCATTTTATTCAAATGTTATATTTCTAAATAAAATACAATTAAAATACTTATTTGTGATGGGTGATGCTCATTCGCTTTTTAATGAACAATTTTGTAGAACAATAATAACAATTCGTTATAAATGATACTGAGAATTTAGATTGAAATCATGATATAAATTTTGAATATATTCAAAAGACTTGGAGATAGATAGAGATAATGATAAGCCATAGTTTTCAAAAACAAGATGTTTTTACATCAAAATGTTCCTTAGGAATATTTCCAGATAGATACTTTGGGAGTTTCTGAACCTTTCCTGATATAGAGGTAGATTACATCAAATGTCTTGTGTCTTATCTGGAAATCATAGTGTTTTTCTCCAAAACTAGCTCGCCTAAATAAATTTAATGTTTGGTTTGTATAGTTATAATAACTATATAGCATCAAATCCGTTTTTCGCTATATTAGCTTAATATGTCGCATTTTTTGAGTATAGCAAATAAAAATGCATTGACTCAACGTTGAAATATTGGGGATAAGAAAAGAAATTTGATTTAAAATTAACTTGCTTTGAAAGTTATGTTCCATCTTCTCATAATTAAGGTTTCAATTTCCGGTAAGAAAGAATTAACGCTTTGGATTTCTTAAGAATACTTATCATACAGGTTTTTCTCTTCAGGAAGAAGAGAAGAGAACCATCAAATGGAGAATGAACCTCAATAAGGAGAATTGTATTGATTTTTCCCTCTTAATCGTGTAATTATGACCTAACCTTGAGACACTTTTAGATAATACCTACAATAAAATTTCGGAATGCACAGACAAACTTCAACAATAGTAAAATGTAATAAAGAGTTTAAATCTTTACCCTGCCTGATTCTTGAGTGCCTGTACACTTGACTATGTACAATGTGTCATAAATAATTATTAAAAGTATTTAAAAAAAGCGACACAAAACAAACCTTTCAGCTGGAGATTCAATACATCTCGGACTTGATGAAACACTGACATCATGGCTTTATCATCGGGAATAGCATGTTTGTTTATCCAACCACCGCATGCAAATTTGTAGAAATTATCACATGGATTAACTTTCTCGTCTAAGATTTGTATGATTTCTTCAGCTGTAAAAAAATCAGCGTTAAAATTTTAACACGCATGTAAAAATTGATTTCATGAAGTAATAATCAAATGCAAGTTATAAGCTTCTTGATTAAACATCTTCTTTTTAGTAGCTTATTAAAGTTGCAAATTACATAAACCACACATAGATTTGTTCTTGGATTTATAAGACCTCAAATGTTTTAGCATCTTCAGTTTCAGAAGCAACTACGATAGTTGAAAGTATCACACGCATCAAGTTGTTGTTGTTGTTGCCAATCCTTCGAGATCCAGCACCAGCTAGATGACAGGTGGTTGCAAGGTTAAGTTTTTAAATTCTAGATTCATAGAAGCAAGAATATGATTGAGAGCAGCAGGATTGATCTTGCATATGGTACATGTAGGGAAACATCCTAGCTCCCAGACTCAAAGGTCATACATTTCATGCTTCCAATAATGAGTCGCGAGGCAGCAAGTATCAAGAAAGAAGAATAAATACGATTTTTTCCTTGAGTTGACGTAAAATTAAGTAATATTAAAAACACGTGATTCATCCTCAACCCGCGAGTTAGATTTCAGTAAAATAACTGTGGAACCCGAATAGTTCTATCTGCATTCAAATGGATCATATATTATACGCATATAAAATCTGCAAAATAAAAGACTAAAATGGAAAGGGTAGTTTTAAAATTTCAAATCAAATTCAAAATTCTATGATTTAAGTCAAAGAAGTGATAAGTTATTCCGGAAAAAACAACAGCAGAAAAATTACGAAAAATAAGCAACATTCTGTTTTTAGTTATTAAATTAAAATGATTGTTTTTTTTCCAATGCCCACCTTTGTTAACATCCGTCAATTCAGGCGTATGCAAGGCGATTTTGTTGGCCTCTTTTTCAGAGGCACCATATTAGGTGGGCCAATATCGCTCCCACAGTGAGGACAGATAGTACAGAGAAGGAAAGAACATCCATGCCTTGCCCGGGACTCGAACCCAGAACCTTTCTGATGCGAGGACAGTTCCCTGCCCCCTACACAGACCGGTCGGCTTAAAATGATTGTAGATAAAATAGATTTTATAGAAATAAATTAACTTTTTCGTCAAGTATCAAAACATCTGGACCTACAGAGTTGTCTTAAGTGTAGTTTAAGTGTAATACTGAAACTTTCATTACCTGTTCTCACACAACCGGGTGTTGTACATATAGCTTCTTCATTTGCCTCCTGCACAAATCTTGGAGAATTTAAGGGTACAAACCTGGTTTGTATTGCCTCTGTAAGGAAACATTAAACATTTTAACAATTCTAGTATGAATAGGTTTACAAAAATGTACCGTATGAGCTCCCTAAAGTGAAATGGAGTTTTTGTTTAAGAACTTTTTGCACAATTAAAAATATATAGTATATCAAAATAAAGTATTCTTCGTTTATTTACCGTTTTTAAAGTTTAATCAAGTAGATCAAATTACTGTCCTATATTTTAACTAAGATCGTATAAAACAAAAATTAATGCCAAATTCTAATCTAACGGAATGGAATTATTTTGAGAACTAAAAAGTATAATTCAGTAATAAAAAATAGCATTGTTTTTTTAAAAAATCGAAGAAGGAAAAAGAAACAATGATTTTTTTGCTTTTGCTTAACTTTTACTATTGTTAAAAATAAAACTACCAATTTAATTCTGTATGGTCACAAAATAATGACATGTGTTTCCACTTCATGATTTTTTCCTTTACTTCACAAGAGTGGTTTTGAGGTAAGTACAGTGCAAAACATTTTAGTGTACTTGGTAGCAACTACTTTACACCAATATGGTGCTGAACCAAGTATGGTGCACAACACCAAGAATGTTCTTTTTATACTACTTGGTGTAAAGTAGCAGTCACGATTTTTTTTTGCATTCAGTTGCATCAAAATTTATAACTACAGTAAGATAAGATACACTTAAAAGTCAGATAAAGTTATTTTTACGTTGTAAAAATTAAGAATCATTAATTTAGATACATTAATTCTTAAAACAAAATTAGTTGGTATATAAAACATACGCATACTACAGAAGGAATTTAAAGGCTAATTCGAAATAGGTTTAACAGAACGGTAGCGAATAAAAAGTATACATGACAAAATCGCTTAATAGAGTTCCACAGAGATTTGAAAATTAAAATATAGATATCCTTATTACACAGCTAAAAATATAAGTGCATGTTCCTAGGGCAACCTTTTATTTTGATTTTATTTTATCAATCATCTAGGGAGAAATTTTCCTTCGTTAAGGACTTTTTGGATGGAACTAACTCGCATTTGCGTTACATGGAGAAGAAAACCTCTCACGAGCCTGATCGCAAGGGGACTCTCATTCATGATCAGTCTACCATCGAGGACATTTTACGTCACACTGTGGTCGGTACGAGCCGGGTACAAATAAAATTGCTGCTAAGAAATTTTTTAAACCAGCAAGAATAATTTACTTGTTACTTTTTTGTATATGTTTTTTGAGAAGATGTTACAATTTTAAAGCTAAGCAAACAAAGCTAAAATTTATAAATTTGATTATTACTTGATTTAATGGTCTAGAAAGTTTCCTTTTTTTCTATATATATATAAAAAAAATTCAAGTGCATATTTTTATGTTTTGTAGTGTTTGGTATCTAAAAATTATTTTAAAGCATTTTATGATTGACCATATTTAGTTCCAGACAGATATTGCCACTTCTAATTCATAACTAATATTAGATGCAGAAAAATTTTCTTAAACTTGATTGCATTATTGAGCAGTTTTTAAATATCATATAATACTCTTCTAAATTAAAATTTGTTTAATTTTTGCTGAATTTACCTTAAGGTGAATTTTGCGTTTTCATCTGGTAGTTTGGTCCAGATAGCCAGGTTGGCAAGGCGCTGGACTTCCGTTTGTGAGAAAGGGAGTTCGAATCCAGAAGGCAGAAGACCGTAAGTGTAGTAAATGGTGACAGGTACACGTTAAATCTATTGGGTCACAAAGTCCACCACATTCCCATAATACTTCATACCTCACCTCTGGAGGTACTGAATTGGAGATTGATCGTTGTCTGGGTCAGATCAAAACTGCGATGAGTGGATGAATGAATGGATGTATGAATTGGTCTGCGCTATAAACGGGTGTGACGTATGAGTGTGGTAGAAATCAAATTCTTGGCCATAGATGGCACCACAGGGAAATAAGAACAATCGCACCACTTGCCTTAAAGCTTACGACAACAAAATCTGTTAGTTTTCGCATGGTGAATTTTTGCTTTTCGTTTGTATTCGCTGCAAGATAAAACTATATAGTTTAAAAAAAAACTTACACATTCCTGATTTTTCTTTTTTCTCAATCTTTCACTGCATATAAATAAGATTATGTGTTTTTGGAGAAATTCGAGACCATTTGAATACGGATGTTAAAACTTAGTTCTGCCCTCAAAGAGCTTGAAAATTTTTAAGGACAATTAATGAAATTCGAAGTTAGTCCTCAAGATTTAAGGATACCTGGTCATCTCCGCTACATTAATACGACTCAAGCCAAATAATAAGGGCAGCATATTTTCCTTATTAAATGTTTTATCTAACGTTTCTATATCAAAGTTCGCTATTTTTTTCAATTTCTCTTCTATATGAAGCATACAATAGATGGTGGTTCTAAAATTTCTCCAATTTTAGGCTGTTTGTTGGATCAGAATCTTTATTTCCGCTGTGTCAATCTTTTGTTTTAAAGTATTTCTTTTAAAAATTCCATTGGCTACATTTCAGAAATTAACAAAACTGACGTTAACAAACCGATTTCGTTCATAACTCCACGAATCTCCGTTTGACCAGGTTCCAAACAGCAATAACCCCTTATTTTATCATGCCGAATAAATCATAAAGATTTATGAATTGAAATCCTATTTGTTCGATGAAGTGTTTGCCAATTTGCAACTTTGACATTTCTGTAAGGTAGAAGTTATTGAAGCAGCGCAAACTGACTGAAAAAGCAATATTCTTCTATATCTTTAATAAGATGCAACAATTACATATGTGGGAATTTAATTTCAGACTATGTCAACCTTTATCTATCAAAAGGTTCCTCACGATTGAGTCAAGTTAACGTGTGTTATATACTAGTGATTTGGTATTTAATATTTGTAGTGGTAGTTACGCTACATTACTCCTCTTCCAGAATTTTATCTGTGATAGAATTCGATGAATGAATACCGCTAGTTGATTCATGCTGTTTATTTATTTATTTCAATTTTTGCTCATTATATATATTTTTATCTTCCCAGCATTTCGCTCGATATTTTATTTTATAGCTTTTCGCTATTTTTTTTCATAATTTTTTTTATAGCTTTTCGTTATTATTTTTTCTTTCTTCATTATTGTTTTTTGACTGGGAGACTTTATTTACTTCATCGGAGTTTTTTTCTTTGAGCGGTATATTTTTAAACAAATCAACTGTTTCATGTGGATCAACCATCGATATTGGCATGTTCTTATCACGTCCACAGGTCACCATTGCAGAGATTTAATTTTAGACTATGTCAACCTTTATCTATCAAAAGGTACCTCACGATAGAGTCAATTTAACATGTCTTATATACTAGTGAATTGGTATTTAATATTTATAGTGGTAGTTACGCCACACATACTTTGAAATAGTTTAAAAAAAGTAAAATTGAACTTTTTTTTAATACTAAGAGCTTACCTATTTTTTTTCGGTAGTTGTGGCCAAAGACAGCTGGTATTGTCAAAGTCATCAAAAGAGATGTTACTATAAAAAAGTATAATGTTCTTTCGAATTTCATGTGATGATTCCCGCATATCGAGTTCCTGGAAAAAATGAAAAATCTCATACTTCTTTATGAATAAAAACAGCTTACTGTGGAATGTTTAAGTTTTAGATAGATCTCAAATACTAATATTTAAGAAAATCAACTGTGGAGTGAGTGAGTTTCTTTGTCATTTGATTCATAAATTGTATTCAAATTAATAATCTAATTTCGATATTTCAAATGTTTCCGTTTTTGTTGACTCATAATAATTCTCCCCAAAGTTCATACTGACTCTTATAACTGATTCTCATTTTAATAATGTTATAAGTTAAATTAAAATTTGAACGAAGTCGGTAAAATAGTTCTTGAGAAAAAAATTTTTATATGCGACATTTTTAAAATTTTGAACTCATGAATTTTATTACTAACTCATTTTACCCTACAAGATCGTGATTACTTACGTGATCATGTGATTCTCCTTTTATTTCTCAATCTATCACAGATAAAACTAGCCTTTCTTAGATCATACGGACGTGATCTTAGTGCGACACTCTCATATAACATCTCTGATAAGTACGCATAAACACGAAGTTTGCGATCCAGGGAAGCGCTTTTTCTTCATTCTGTAGGTCCTGATGTGGTTAAAATTTACTAGCTCAAAATGATGTAAGAATTTTTATGCCTTGCAATGCACAATAAAACTACTCCAGCTATTATAAAGTAAAATAACAGCTAAATATAAATAATAATTAGAAATTATTTTTTTCCAGAAAATTATATTTGGGTAAAAAAATTTCAGAAGTAAGTGCAAAAGTTTTGAAAAATTCAGAAAGAGAAATTAGCATTAAGTGACCTAACTTTCAACTACTCACATGAATAAAAAAAATGGAATAATATTTTTCTGATTGTGACTACCTCCTAGATATTTTGATGGTCATTAATCCAGATTCATTAAAAAAGGTATATTTTTTTAGGGTTATTTTTGTGCCCGATGCCGTAATTCGACAGGTAAGTCGAAGATTAACCTTTTGAAGCCATAAAATTATTTTTTAGAGCGATAAAATCCAACCAATAGAACTAAAGTTATTCAGGATGATATATTTTCTTTTGGATGATATATTTTTTTCACATTATCATTCATGGTGAAGGAGTTTAATAAAGTAATGTTGTATGTGCAAGGTTAACAAAGTCTTGGTTGATCGCTCATCGCCCTTTTAGACGTACTGAACATCTAATTGACACATTTAGCCACGAAACTAAAGTGAAATTGGATAGCGGCTTTGGGAAAAATGTAATAAATTCGTTGGCAGCTTATGACGATTTTTCTTTTGAACCTATTTCTAAGTTTTTGTCATCCCGTGTTGGCTTCAAGACGAGGCACGTTGGTGTTAGTTGCCCATAACACGATGGCCTTTTTCACATTACATATAGGATCCAAAACAAGATTTGAGTTTTCAAGATTTTCAGTATATTATATAGAAAGAACTTAATATCAATCGTTTTAAGCTAAGAAATTAAAAATAACATTATGTTTGAAAATATAATCAATAATTAGGTATGGAATTAAATTTAAAAAAATTAAGCATACTTACATTCCGATAAATTTGGATGAATGAAACTGCTCTCTTGGCGAGGAACTAAACATATTTTGGTACTTCTTATTTATATTCTTCTTATTTAAAAAAAGAAAAAAAACTATGCAATCTGCACCGAAAATATATTTAAATGATATCGCATGTGCTACATATGAAATACCTGTCAGAACATTTTACCATACTACATGAGGTATTTGAGGTAAGTAAACTTGTACTGCATTGTTTTATTGTATTTTTTCAGATTGTCCGTAATCAAATATGGGTTAGATAATCAAATAAATGACAGATAATGAAAAGATACACGACATAACGACTGATAAAAGGATTCGACGCGAATTCAAGGATTATGAATGACGGTAGCGAATTGTTCCAAATTGTTATGGCAACATCATAACTTAAAGATAAAATATTTTTTTTCAATACAACATTTATTTATCATAAAACAAGTACATGCTTCCATATAACACGATTTCTAGAAAACAAAATGTGTGTAGCTTTAAACTAAACTACTGCATCAAATACTTTATGTTAAAATTGGTGATTAAAATTGAGTATTTATAACATTTTTCCAAAAATATAATAATAATAATTACTATCATATATAAAATACAATTTAGGAAAAGATTTTATTTATAAATAGGTTACTCAATCATTAATTTGATTGCTACTGTAATCATGGTGATTTAGATAGGGAAAATCTAATGTTTTGGCTCTTTACTAAATGAAATGTGCATTTGACATTCTACATGAAATCAACTGTCATATTTTTTATCGAAACGATTGCCGTAAACTAGGTTTCTAATTTCCATATTTTATTGCATTATTTTAATCGCCATTGCAAAAGGCGAGTAACAATTTCACCAAACAAATATAATTTTGGATAATGTCATTCATAACCTTTACAAGAACATTTGCACCAGTTCTGTGCCTTATAACAAATAAACTCATGTCCTCAAATTATGGATAATACCAACTTCGCCAAATAAAGGTTCAGAAACGAAACAAACGTGACTTATTCATAAAGTCATTTTATTAAATAAAACAAAAAAGATGGTGTACGTATGATACCATTAATAAAGACTAAGATTTTTGATCCCTGGAGCAATTATAAAAGCGATCTCCTTTACAAAAACTTACTATTTCATGGTTGATATGGTATGGTAGTTAATACACTGTATGGCTCCCACGCAATGAAATAAAGATTGCTCAATGCCTAGGTATTCTGAGTATCAAATTATCGAGCTGATCTTGGGTGCTATTTGGGCAATTCCGAGTTCCTTGGATACTTCCACCTGAGCACGCCCATATTCCAGGCGGCAGATAATTCTATCACTTAAAAAAATCATTCATATACGTCCTCTGAGTTATAAATATATGATTTGGCACTAACCGGCTTACAGAATGATAGTGTACAATTTTACTTTTTTGCCACATTTCCTCATATACTCTTCTCTAACACTTTCGTAATTGTGACGTACTGTGGACGTCATATAATGGTTTCCGGTAAATTGCATAGTATTTTCGAAGATGTGTGTGTTAACTCTGCAAGTGAAATTTTTACTTTAGAATTCAATTTCTGAGTGATTCTGTTCTTTGAATATATGGGTGTATAATTCATCCTAAATTAAAATGCATGGGTGTATAATTCATCCTGTTTACATTTTAAAAAGTACTAAAATATTTTTTGACAAAATATTTCAATTAAATCAGATATGTTTATATGCTTTCTTTTTAAAAATGAAACTCCCTCATAGAAAATTCAGACAGGAATTCAGTTTTAATTTGCAAAATTGAGGGCACTTCTTTTAGCATAATTTCTTTGGATAAGATACATTTCCACTTGCATTCTGTTTTTTCGAGTAGAAGCATTCTTAAACATTTAATAACGAATAATATGCTCCCTACTTACATTTAAAAAAATACTATTAGATTTGCTTTGAAAAAAGATATCAGTAAAAAAATCGAACCCGTTTTTTCTTTATTGAAAACGGATGAATGGAAACGGAAATAGGTACTAAACTGATAACTCTAGGTACTAAACTCTAGGTACTAAACTGATTTATTTTATAGCAGTACTTTTGGAACAACTTTTATCTATAAAAAAATTCCACAAACTTAAGGCATTTTTTAGGATTGACTTAAAAAACATGCGTCAAATTTACTTTACAAAAATTACTAATAAATTTCTTGCAATCGAAATTCTGTGAAACTCAAATCGAAATGTTTCAGTAGAAAGAAAAGAATAATTATGTACCTTTTTTCCTTATTATTTATTTAATTTCTTTAATGATATAGTTAACGGGATAATTTTCTGAAATAATTTAAGTAACCAACAATTTTCTTAAAATAATGACAGTGAATATTTTTAGTCACGAATATCTTCTTTAATTATTCAGAAAAAAAACAGCAGGCGATACACACATTTCAGGGGGAAAGCTCCCAAATGTTATTTTATTTTTTATAGTTCTGCGTATTTTAAACGTTTATAGAGTGCACTAACTTTTGGGCGATCTAAAACGTCTAAAGGATAGTTTGGACAGTAATTCAATACATCCATATAAAACTTTAATCAGTTAACTTTTAAATTTCAATCTCCTTTGGAACAAAACTGGTTTTTTTTATCATCCATTTGCAATTTTAACACAATGCATGTTCCTAAAACACATGTTCATTTTGTTCAGCAACATATGTTTATAAAAAATATTTATTTAACACGGCGTACAAAAATATTGTAACTAAAGATATAAATCTTTAGTTACAAATGGCAAGTGAATAATGGCAATAAACTAAAGCAGATCAGTATACTTGTCAAAGGAAAAAGTTCATTAGTTTCGTTTCAAAAATCAAGATGGAAAACGTCGATATGTTTCAAGCGCCCAAATCAGTTAAGCATTATTTGGATAAGCTAACACGTGAGGGATGAACTAAGCAGATTTGAAAGAAAAACCACGCCAACAAAAAATAGAAACAAATGTAAAGTTGAAAAACAAAACGAGAAAACTGTGGTGGCCGAGGGGAGAGACGGAGGGCAGCTAGAATGGAAGAGAAGAGAGTAACTAATGTCCTTTACAAGAGAATCTTATTTCATATTGAATGAAATAAAGTTCCAGAACAATAAGATGGCATTTTGTGACAAGAATCAATGAAATTTCGGTTTATTGAAATTGAACTTGGGTCTAAGGATTAAACAATGCGCATCAATAGATGACTTATAAAATTTGACATGACGGCCATAACTCTCCCGTTCTCTTAATATGAATGCTAAAGTTCGCCTGGGTTTGCCCAATTTATCCAAAGTTGCATTAATGAGGTGTGTTAAAAATACACCACCGATTGCACTGATCTGCTAATTTGAGTTATAAAAAAGAATTTACAATATAATGACCAATTTTTATGTTATTTTGTAAACTGATTTTAGATAAATAGGAATACACATAAGAATTTTTCCCAAATTGGGCATGGACATCAAGAGAGTAATGATTATTTTGCATATTCTGAGGTGAAGCG